CACAATAATCACCGCGCCAGGCTGATTTTCCATTTGAGTCCGATGGCTGAATACCACCTGTTTTGTACTTTTCACAAGCCTTTAACAGACATGCACAAGCCTATAGCGTCAGACAGTGGCATCGGCATGTTGTGAGTGGGATTGTGTGTTTCTCATGCCTCTTCTTCCTTTGTTCCACCGGTCTAATCCAGTATGTGTGGGCCGGTAAGTTTAATGGAAACAATTTATTAAGTCCGGCTTAAAATGCCATCTGCAGCTAAGCCTCGCAAAGCCGCTAAGCTCCCGGTTTCGCCCTGGAGCTCGCTGTGTTCACGCTTACTGTAATGCTCTGTTTAAAATGAGCACAACGGGTCAAAATTAATCAGGATTACAAGGGCATAAATCCACTTCAGAAATAGGTTTTCTACCAATCTTTCTCCGGCTGTATCCCAAGATGCCCCTGGGTTTGTCTAGTAGTCCTGAAACACTAGCGCCAATGGAGACAATAAGCACTTGACACTAGGGCAATGTTTTAAAGAGATATTGACCAATCTTGAGTTCCAATTCAAAATTTCAAACAAAACAAAATAAATAGTGTGACCAAAACCATATTTTTGTCGCCGTATGTGATATGCACTCTTAGCGGTCTAATGATCTAACCTGCCCGACACACCTGCTGGGGTTTTGTTATAGACGTACAAACTTTGACAACTCATTCTGCGTTCTGATTGAATAATCTACTTGGAATCTGTAAACGTGAATATTCTGGATATCATGTTATTGTAATTTTAATTAAGAACAACTCCACTTTAAACTTTTGTTCAGAAAAGGACAAATATGATTTGTAAATATTGACGTGTTAACATAGTCATTTAAAATTAAAATATCAAGTTTCTTTAATTAACTGTACGGGAGACAAAATTATATCTAAGCAAATCAGAGTGAAACGCAAGGACATATGATTGAGGAGAGCTAAAAACATAAGCTGCCTGTCCTCATTTGATTTTTTTTATCATATTATCTTTCCATTTTTGCAATCTCCAAAGCCTGAGATTGGCAAAGCTCTACTTGACAGTGTTGTCCGCATCTAGCCCGTACAAGATTCAACACAGCAATGGCGGATTCCAAGATATTTTGAGCTGTTGACATAGAGGCGATATCTCTCCACCACTTCCATAAGCATCGCGTTGTGAAATGTCATAAGCGGGCCGTCCAGGAGAGTGTTTATCTGTACTCTGTGGAGGTGAACCGCACAAGCTCCGTCGCTACTTTTAGCTTCTCAATTGCCTTCAAGCAAGTGGCAAGCCTGAACCCTGACATTCGGCTCAATACGCCTAGTGCAGGGTTGTCATTGCGCTTTTACTTATACAAGCCATCCTCCAACAAATCAATAATTTGCAGGAGGTTTAAAGCCGGAACTAAGCTGAACAATAGACGTTAGATAACACTTGGCCCTGTTCTGTACCTTCCTACCTCATAAACACTACATTGGTCCATTTTCTTTGGACAATGGGTGTTCTACAAAAAAAGCAGAGGTAGTTTAGCAAGAACAGAACTGAATTATGAAACAGGTTGGTGAGCTGAGAAACAGAAAAGTATAATAATGGTTTCTATCACAATAACAAAACATGGAAAATACATTGAGGCTGAGTTATATTGTGATAAACGATAATATTGAAATCACTTTGTGTGTGCAATTCCAAAACAGCACAGACATTTTTTGTGAACCGTTTTCAATTTCTGTCATACGCTGAAACAAATAAACAGAAGAATAAGTCCCTAGGCATACAAGAGACTAAGGGCGTGTTCACATTCAGTCCCAAGTGAGTTTGCTTTAACTGAACCGATTAACGTCTTAACATCAGAGATTTAAAACATAAATAAAAAGTCATTGAGTATTTTCAAAAGACGTGAGATGGTTTAAGGGAAGACGGGGCAAGTGTGCACTGTTTTGTTTTTTCAAATCACCACAAATGAAGGGTTTTTGATCAAGTGAACCAAATTTGGTCCAGTTAAAGTGAAGTGTGAACGCACCCTTACCCGAAATATGTTGTTCCATCTATTAAGTTATTGAAGGATGAATCAATATACTAATTATTGTGCAGGTCTGTTCAATGACTGCTATGTGCATGCAGTTTCTTGTAAACGGGACGTACGGATGCTCTCAGATGATAAAATAACAGAATAGTAGTTAGCTCCGCCACGGCCATGTTATTACAGAAACTATGGACGTCTGTAAGTGGTAGTCAACCTACTGTAAACACAAAAAGAACAAGAGCAAATGTGAAATAAAAAAAGCCGGCTTGTTTGGCTTTTAACCAAAACCATGTTCTGTGTGCATAATTACAGTGCTCTGCCTGGGCTGATTACAATGTTGGTCTTTGGTCTCCTCTATTAACCCTGAACCGTTTCATTAACATGACAGACTGCGGGTCTGCGTGCAATTTGGCCCTAACCTCAACTGTTTGTACTTGCACAGGCGCACCAAAATAAAGTAAAGGAGAACTTAGATGCACTGAAAGAAATAACAACCATTACCTCCAGGAGCCATCAAAGCATTATATATTTATGTGTGACATAATGTGTGGGCATATGCTTGTGTTTCTGAGCAGCCGAACAAGCCTTTTCATCTGTCCCACAGGAGCGTCAGCTCGACCAGGAATGGGGCACGTACCATGTATTCAAGCTCCAACAAAAACTAGGTGGTTATTTCAGGGCTGATGTCGATGAATAGTAGTCAAGGAGAACGATAACAATTGTATAGTCAATCTTTGTTAGCGGTAATAGGGAAAATATTGGTTTAAAAAAGTTGATACAAACTCCATCCACTAACTTGTGTTTAAAGTGAATGTCAATTACCCATTACCTTTTGAAAACAAGCACTGGTTAGATCTTCCCATAAGCCTAGCCTACATCGACAGAGTAACTGGAGACAACTAGTTGCAAGGCGGCTTTTGGCAACTGAGAGGAGATGATGGGAGATGATCACTTGCCAAAATCGGTCGATGTGCGCGCTCTTACAACTGGAGATGAACAGTCCTCAGATCTGGAGATATCACCCGATGTGCGCGCTCCAACAACATGTGTGTATTGCGTGTATTGTGCGCCCTCTACAGTTTATGTCAGAAAACACACTGTAGTTGACGGCCAGTTGCTGTTGATGTACGCGCGTTATTCCTGCGACTGGCCTGGTACTAGGAGTTGCCCGTTTTCGCTAGATTGTCGATGTGTGCGGGGCAGCAACTCATAGGCGTCCGATGTACGCTAGGCAATACTCATCCCCTCCCAATTATATAAACATAACTACCACTGTAAAGACTGGATGTGACGTAACGGCAGAGCTGGAGAGATAAAGCACTGGAGGCTTTATGCAGTGGATAGATTACAATATTTGATGTGATTTTTACAAATTAAGTGTGCTGTTATTTCATTTTATCTTGACAGAAAAAAGCCCAAATTGAGCTAATCAGAGAGTGCTATGTATAGGAAAATAAAGTAACAATATCCATGGTTGTGCTGTAGGTAAATACATTCATATCTTTACTTGAGTTGTATAATCGTTGTTTTTCCCAGGAGGCTCAAAAAGATAAATAATTTGACGAGTATAAAAACAAGGGTTATCAACATTGGTCGATAAAACCTCTAGAAAGTCTTTCACTTCTCAACAAACTTCACACACAAACACAAATCCAAAGCTATTACCAAAAAGTCTTAAAATGGATTTCAAAACAACACTGCGCCAAGAACAGCCGAGCGTGAAAACTCAACGCCGCTCATGACAAAATCACAAAATCTGCTGATGAAGCCGCAGCAGCCTCTCCCTGCCCTGCCTCACCACGCGCTAATCCACTTGCTTTACCAAACAGGATCTCGGTCGATCTGTGTGACAATCAGCACAAAGTCTGATTGGATTGTGTTGCGTGTAATTCCAAGCTGCTAATCCTAAACTGTGTGCGCATATTAGGGGAATCTACTAAGGACACGGCTGTGACGGACGGCCTGTTTGCTTTTCTATAAATCATGTCTGCTTTGTGCTCACATGAGGTAATGATTAACAACGTGTCTGTGTGCGGCTGTGTTGTGGTAAAACAGTTGCAGATGAGACGCGCAGTGGTCCAGTAGTGAGGAGTAGGACGCATAGTTAAATCTAAACCATGCAAATCTGGAAGTCGTGGCTGCTTTTACTATGCCTGCTGGTCATCAGTCATCTGCACATCACAGAGCACACCTGGTTTTTCTATGAGTGCTAAACTTAGCTGAACTGAACAGACTCAAGCAACTCAGTAAAGTCTATACAATATAATATACAGTTAATAACAGGATTTGAGTAGATATGGTTCATTATTTCTTGAAAGGAAACTACTCCTGCTCTCTCGTCTGCACAGTGGTGTCACTCACTTCACTTGTGTTAATGGTCCTGTGTCCTCCTCTATGCCCTGGGGAGCTGTAGTGGTTCTGCTGCTGTCTATCATCCCTCCCTCCCCCTTCCTCCCATCACTGTCCAGTAGCAGACACAAGTCTGTCCAGATAAATCGTGTGCTATGTAATTTGAGCTGCAACGACTGGACACTTGGACACATTGGCACTAACAGCAGCACACACACATGGACATGGCTGTATGATCCACACACACTGAGATGGTGTCGTCTGGGCCGCTGACACAGCTTTCTCTCCTTTTTCTTTGGCATCCATTATGGCCCAGGCCCGGCTGTCAGAGAGCTTGTATTGCCTGAGGGGAAGTTCCCATTTGTGGGAGCATGTGGCAGGGAGGCTCTAAATCCCCTCTAATGAACCAATATGTAGGAAGGCTAAGCCTCTGGCGGGGTCGTCCAAGAAGCGCCACTCAGCACTCGCCACTAATGTATGCATATGTAGTCACCAGACCTTGTTTATGTCATTTAAATTCGACTCGGACCTGCCGGATTAGAGAAAGGAGATTTGGACTTATGCTAAAACCTAGTTGTTATCAGAAATGGGGATGAGGGGGAAAGGCCAGAAATATGAAAAAGGAGTACTCTTACCTTTGGGAGTGGTGTGAGAAAAGAACCTCTCTGATGCTACATCAGACACCTGCAAAACACAAACACACACTTAGTGGATGTAGAAAAACATAGAATCACCCGTTTCATGTGATTGACAGCTTATAGTTGCACAGAAGACCAGTTGAATGTTTATTGGTGTTTACAAAAAGAGGAGCTGCATGTCTAACGGCCACTTAACATCAAGAGGCTGCACTGAAAATGTTTGAATAAGTCGAAAATATATTCATAGATTAAAGGTCAAAAGAGTTTATTTTGAAGAGTGTAATGTGCATATCAATGTGCAACTCACTGCACTCTGAATAATAGTAATAAAAGTAATAGTAATAATATATTTTTTTAGATTGTGCATTACAAAACATGTTCTCAACACAAGTTTAAGTGAAATTATGCGAGGTAAAATGGGCTACAGACCAAACAAAAAGGGTATTTTCCTCTACAGATAGACATAGTAGTCTCTGGCAGGCACAGGCAAACCAAAACACTATACACTCAATAAAAATACACACATAGAAAGGGGAACCTTTAAACTTTACACTCTTTTTCCAGTCACACAAAAGGTGGCATTGTGCAAAACCCTGCAGCAAAACGGCTGCATGCTTTCAAAGATAGCTCCAACAATGAAAATCCTTCTCAGCCCGTAATGTCAGGTCGGTATACGGTCTTTGTTTAAAACCATGGCTTCCCATTGCTCTGGCTCATTTCATCTGGGTTCAGCAGACTTATAAAACGGACCACAAGCCCAACATATGTTCCACCCAAAGGGCCCAAGTATCCTTAACTGCCGCGCTTGTGTTTTATTCCTCACAAAGGGAGCATATGTAAAGAATGAACAGTGAATCAGAGACGGAGACAGCGAGAAAAAGCAAATGATTGTGTAAACACAGATGGCTGTCTTTGGCATCTCTCGTAGTTCTTCACAAGTGTTTGGAGGACGTCCTCTTCTCTCTAAGACCTCCCAATTTCTCTTTCACTGCCACTGTGCCTCTGTTCACCGCAGAATTTGTCTGTCTGCACTTGTACAAAAACAATACCAAGAGATAGCACTTCACGGCAGGCTTTAGACACTTGGAAAAGCTCCACTTGAAGTAATAGGTCTTTAACTGTTGTGAGATTTTGTCCATTAACTACACACAACTTACTGCAGAAAGAACTGTATGTAATGAATACAGAAAAAAAAAAACCTCACAATTATTGCATATTTTTTGTCAGAATAAAAAAAGCAATTTCAAAGAGTCTACAGAGTAAAATGATGGTAAAGGGCAGCTGAAAAAAATAAGATTAAGATCAATACATCCTTGGACATATTGACAAAGGCAACTAATCATACCTATGGCCAGTGTCTTTTTGAACATTTCTTGCAAAAATGGCTTCTTTCCCCATTGTGCTTTATTGGTATTTGAAATTAAAATTCTCCAGCATGAACTTTAACTATTTAACTTTCTGTAACTGTATGTATTGAACATAACACTGAGGCTTATATATAATTTCTCACATATCCTGTTCACTTTATTTACAAATGTAGTCAGACCAAAGCGGCCGAGTCATGATAGTGTATCACACATTACCCTGTACAGTCCAATAATGTCAACATAAAGCAAGGTTAGGTGATTCATCGAGCCATTAGCACAGTGTGAGTGGCACTTCAGATGTGTTTTGATAAGGCCAAATCAGGACAGAGACACTTGAATTGAGTTGTTTCCTGTTTCCTTTTACAGTAAACAAAGCCAGGGGATTGTGAGGCAGAGCCAGAGTGAGTGTGGTGCATTGCCCTGGTTCAGTCTCCCAGAACCGGGGTGCCCAGCTACAACACAGCCTCTTTGTTAGCTTTGGAAGACATTAAACGCTTCAGTACCAAGCCTTAGCTCTGAAGCACCGCAACCTCCAGAGCCTGAGGAAGAAAAATATGGGCTCCAAATGAAATGAAGCTTGTCAAATGGACACGGGAGCTAGCTCCAAGTGTGGCATGGGGTCACAACAGCAGGAAAAACACAGGGAGGTCACGCCATAACTCAATGTAACAGTTACAATCGCTGTTGTGGACCGAGTGGTAATCCAGAGAGCAGCAGACATAACAGAACGGCTGTTTACACAAGACCCTTGCCCCAGACCGTATCCCATTTCAACATTTGTGGGTTTGGACAGGCTATCAAAATGTATTTAAAGAAACATAAATAAGAGATATTTAGGTTTAATTCTCGAGTTTTGCACCTGCCAAGGTCAGTTGTATAATAAAGAATTGCAAGGACGGCTTGCCAAAGCAGTTCTTGAATGGCATGTCAAAGCCAAGACCTGGCAGTTGTTTTGTTAGAACTTTCTGGTTAACTTGACATTTTTTCATCAGGCTGAGCTGCTGGCACTCAGCGCTGCCTGTGGTTGTGGTGCATGGAGGTCATGTATAACAAATTCTTCACACTCTCTTTGTAGAGACAGCCATGGCTGCCATTAAAAACAGACGGGGAAAGATGAGGCAGAGGGGGAACATAGACTATAAAGGGAAGTCAGAGCAAGGAGCAAAGGCCAACATTTCCAAAGGAAACAGGGAAATCTAACCGTTTAAAAAATAATGGGGGAAATTCAAGCCACTTTGCCTGGGAGCCAAAATCCCTTGCAGCGGGCCGCAGGAAGCCTGACCTTTGAGGGGTCCGTCTGCTATTTGAGCCTGGGGCTTCAGGGGCCCGGCCTCCTCTCTAGAGAGCCATCAGCAGGCCTCAGCTTTCCTTCCCTATTCTATTCATTACCATGCTTTATGATTCAGCTTCCTCGGAGCCACACAAGAGCTCCCCGAGGAAAGTGTGGAGAGAGGGAGAGCAGAGACTGAGGAGGAGGAGGTCAGAGGGCTGAGCCAGGACCCGGCTTTCAGCAGCTGTGAAATCCTCCCGTTTGGTCAGATGCTAACGCAGGAGAGCAGCCAGTAAAACCTTCATCAGCCAACTAACTCCCAGTGGATCACAGGCACAACCACACTCCCAGATTCAGGGAATGCCAAATCACAAATTACACCGCTGTTTGTTTTAAAAAGTCTTCCAACTTCCCTGAACACCACTGAATTACTGGCCACATAAATCTCCCGATAACAGTGCGGCCACAGAGGGAAAGGCAGGAACTGTGGTGAGCAATAAGAGACGTTTAGTTAGAATGAAAAATGCATTTGCTGTTCAAGCATAGAATGAGGGGAAATGTATTTGCAGATTGTGCATACATTTCAGTTAATGCAGCTATTCCTAATTGCCCTCGTACATAATTTTAGAGGATTGAACAGAATTGGATTGCAACATAATCAGTGAGGTGCAAATGTATGAAAGGCATTGATCAGGTAAGGCTGTGATCTGAGACATGGGGTCAGCTTAAGCAATTACTCATATTTAATTAACTTAATTTAGAGAAGACTGCTGAGAGACCAATATACCCTGTGCAACCAGTGTGTGATTCTAATTAAAGGCTACACGTGAATTTTTTAGGAGTAAAAAATCCACGTGACGAGGTGCATGCTCTCAAAACAGTTTTGTTCTATCGCTAGTTTTCACATGTGTTTTTGCTCTCTGTCACATCTTTAGATCAGATCGTTCAGTGGAAACAAGACTACCAACCCCACACAACCAATCACCTGGTTATAGAATAAGAATGTTGTGGTCTGATTTTTTTCATGAAATATTTTAGTCTTTCTGTTTGGTGAAACAACATGTATTTATGGAACAAAAACAATGTAGGAACTCCAGCTTTAACATGTGTTAGAAACATTTGAATGTATTATATTGTAATGTGTGAGTGTCCACATAATTTCCCTCACAAATCCACAGTTCATTTATGATCACAGACAGATCACAGACAGATCACAGCTGGATCAAGAAGATATGCTGTGGTTAACGCCAGCAAAGGCAGTAATTACAATTTCATCAGTCATTATGCACATGTTCTTCACACCGTTTGTAAAACCATTAACGTGACTTTGGAACATGCTTAACTTTCAACAAATGCTCAATCAGGAATTTAAAAGCATCCCAACATCCAAGAAAGTTTCACACTGCAGACTAGAATGCTAAAAACACACCAGTCCTACTTCTTAAAGGGCAGATCACAAGAGGCTTTATCATTAGATGAATACAGCAGCCTCCTTTTGAAATTAGGGACTAGGGTTGTACAGAAAATAGTCAAATCGTTTTAAAGTGGAAAAGAAAAAATGAAATGAATGGGAATTGTGTACAATTTGAACTGTAAATTGCTCCTATAATGGTAAAGCTCGGGTGCCTAACTTTCAAACAATACGGACAACAATAATATATGAGATAAACATCCATCTAACTTTCATTGGTTTTATCACTAATTTTCAAATGCATTTATTTTTGGCCACAACTTTTTCAGGCAAAAAAAGTGAAAAAGAGAAAAAGAAAGGACCTTCATCACTCAGCCAATCAGCTCTCAGCCCAAAGCGTAGAATCCTGACTCTTTCAAGTATTTAAAAATATAACATGTTTTGCAATAAGTTTAAATAGCATGTTGTGGTCTGATTTTTACACAATATATAACTTTCTGTTGGGACAACCGAAATATTTATGAAACAAAAAGCTAGGTACCCCAGCTTTACTTGGAGCACTTTATTGCCTAACACATGCTACCGCTGCATGTGTGTAATAAGAGGTAGTGGACAGCAGGAAGCAAACGCGACAGTACATTCTTCCCTGACAGCAAAATGAATAGGTCAGATGTCTCAGTGTGAAGCAACATTTTGCGTGTCCCAAAATGCTGTGTTGGTCGGTGTTAGGGCTGCACGATTTTGGCAAACTATCTATTAGTTATTATTCTGACCATCATTGCAATGCCAAAAAAAAAAAAGTCTAATTTGGTTCAGAGTCATAATAACTTCATGAGAGCTACATTACAATAAAGATTAAGCATAGATATAAAGTGATTAGATCAGATAGGGCCGCAGAGAACGTTCATATTTTTAAGAGTAGGCTCAAGACGCAACTTTTTAGAGTCGCTTTTGATTAGTATTTATTATTGCTTTTTAGTACATCTATTTATGTTTTTAGACACATTCTCTTTCTATTTATTTTTTATTATTTATTGTATCTACTCATTTACTATTGTTATTATCAATATTAGGCAGCTGCCATTTTTCTTTTTAGTGTCTCATTTTATTGTTCTACTTTCTTTTGTATTATTGTATTGTTTTAGTGTCCCCAGTGTTTCCTCTGGAGGAGCCCTCTGCACTGGGAGCTGGGGTCTGCTGTGGCTTCGGGGGTCTGACTCTTGGATCCGGTGGGGGTCAGGGGACTCGTCTCTCCTCTGGGTCCTATGGGGTCTGAGTCCTGGGCCTGGTGGGGTCTGGGGCCCCTCTCTCCTCTGGGTCCTGTGTCGTTCCCTGTGGCTGCAGCCGGCTCTCTGCTCCTGGTGCAGATGGCTCCTTGGATGACGCTTCTTCAGCCGGTTACATCTGCTCCCAGCCCCATTTCTTTTTATTGTTTTACCTATTGTACCTGATGTGACTTTATACTTGTATGTGTGTGTGTGTGTGTACGCATGTGGTTGTATATATAATTATAAATGTGGTTTTGGGGGGGTCTGTGGGGAGGAGGGTTTAGGGCTGGGCATGTTGGATTGTTTTTAACTAAACTGTAAAGCACTTTGTGTTACATTTTTTTGTATGAAAAGCGCTTTATAAATAAAATTTGATTGATTGATTGAGATAATGTTCTAACCTCTTAAATCTTCAAAAGAAACTGCAATCAAGAGAATATTTTGCTTTATTTAGTTGTTTATTGTTTGCAAAGAACTTAAATAATTGCAGTTTTTCAAGTCAAATTGTGGCCACGAAAATAGCGACTTTGATTTGATTGTGATTAATCCTGCAGCACTACAGTGATTGGAGCAGAAGAGGCATCTAAAACACTTATCGGTCAAGCTGTGCCAAAACATGAAAGATCAGAAAATCCCAATCTCAACCTTCCTTGATCCTTGATATTGGATTAAAAAAAAAAAAGGAACCAGCAACAGAATGACACACCGTTTGGCTGAAATATGCCTAAATGAATTGAATATGTCAAGTGTTCCCCCCTGCTGGTGCACAAGAATATATACAATTTTAATAAACTAATACATTAATGAATAAATAAATCCATCAATATGAATGAAAATAATCTGGTTTATGTTTTTCCCTGATGGTTCAGCCTTACATGAGGAAGAGCTCGGGGGCAGAGGAAGAGCAGAGGTGGGCAGCATCGCACCTCTCCAGCATGGACTATGGGGCTCTCAATTACCCTGGCTGAACCTGCATGTCCATAGAGCTCCCCACACCCCTCCTCCCCCTTACCTACCTCCCTCCCTCCCTTCGTCCCTTACCCTGACACACACACACACACACACACACATACAGGAGCCTGCCATGTGTTAATTTGGCTCCTGCTTGGTATTTCATCACTGTCAGCTTCCTCCTTCACTGCCCTCTCTTCCAATTTCCATCGACTGTCACATGTGCTCCTCAGTTGCCACTCTACTCCGGCTAAAAATACAATAGCATAAGCATACACATATATAATTCGACCCAATACTTTACAATCTCAACAAATATATCCAACTCTTTGCGATTTGGATTTGCTGCTATGCGTTTTGAAAATGAAATACATTTCAGACAAATTCAAAAGAATGTAATGGGACGGAGGTGTATGGCCGGAGAGTGTTTGTGTGTGTGTGTGTGTCTTTACATCTGACATTGCATTGTGTTACTGTTCTAATGTATTGCTTTTGTTATTCTTTTAATTTCTTGTGTAAAAGATTGTGTTGCACAGGTTTTTAAGTAAACATCTTGAGCATAAAAAATACATAATCAATCCATCCTTTTATGCATGTGAACTAATGCATCATAATGTTCATTTCAAAATAGTTATTTGCAGATGGAATGCTGTCTTTCAAGTAGCCACAGATGCCTTTGAAGTGGAGTTGTGGTTGGTTTCTGAGGAATCACAGCTGTTTACAAGACATCTGCAAGCTTTACAGTACAAACTCATCATTGCCCTTTTCTTTTAAAACCACTTAAAACACTCATTTGCACCCACTCAGGGCAGCAAAACATTTCCACTCTTTAACCCACCTCGCCGACGCTATGTTTAGCTATTAGTGCCACATTAGCCACGCACTGTTGGAACTACAGCTCCCAGAATGCACCTGGGGAGATGCATTAATTATGTGTCCTGTGTTTGTCCTCAGAACTGCTCTAGAAACTTAATGACCTTATGATGAGCCTTATAGCATTCCTGTGGGGGACCAGAAACAATGGTATACCTTAAGCTTTTATAGCTGCCCACACGTGACCCCGTGAGCTTCCATCAAAGCACTTCTACAGGGCCAGGAGGATAGCAGACCCCCACCTAATGTAAGCCATGGAGAGAGACTGGAGATGAGACCGCCTCCGCAACTCGCCTTGACTGCAGCAGTAGAAAGCTTATAATGAATACCATAGTGAGCAAGTAGACTTACAATGGACTGGTCAGCAAGGAACTGGAGCGATTTTGATTTGTGTACCCAGGACAGAGATTAATCCCTAAATATAGGTAAAAGTAGAGATAAAAAAGGTCTTTATTCATCATATAGGTATGCGTTGTCAGGGTTTAGTTAGGTCTTAAACAATTAAATTCCATATATTTCGGTTCAGCCCTTAATTTCAACAGCAGTCTCGGAGAACTTAAAGAAATATGTTAATAAATCTACAACAGATTAGATGAATGCCCATAGATGTTTGTAAATTTCCAAATATGTCTTGAATCCTCACTGTCCTTAGACCCTCCTGCATTTGGAGACATTTTGAAAATCGCGTTGAGATTTGAGATCTGGTAGGCAAGGAAAGTCACTATTCTTCTCTCATCACAATATTTTTTTTATATTGTAGGTGGCAAATATTTTTGTCGTTGTAAATGCATAT